TGAAGCTTGTGTCCAGGAATATGTTCTGTACTTAAGCTGTCTGTCTGCTAGTGGAGTTCAGTTAGGAAGCAGGAGTTACCCGTTCCCACTTCTTGATCTACTTTCTTGCTCCGTTAAAGTTATCTCTGCTCCGATTCTACTGTTCCCCCAATCGTCGCCAACTTCTCTTACTGTCCCAAATTGAGCCCTTGGGGAAGGGTAGTAGCAGCGGCGAAAAGTTTCAGAGACCTGCAGAGACATTGCAGGATCTACTCATGTCCTTCACACTCGCGGGCGCAGCTTGCCTCGTGAAGCTGATATTGCGGTGTCAGGAACAATTCGCAGGGACACAACGACAGGGGTCCATCTGACTGCTGTTACGACTGCTGCTTCAGTTTTAGATGCACTGAAGGAAAGGTCTGAGCGTCGTCAAGCGAGAAGATCGGGTGCTCATGCGGAAGATGGCGTGACCTGCAGTCGTGCAGAAGTGCGTCACCTACTTGCAGTTCGTCCCGAGCGGATGATTGTCCGGTCTTGACTGCATGAGACTCGTGCATCTCGTCGCCATGTTGCTCGGCAGCGAGCTGTGCGCGCCGTGAATACGGGTCAGTGAGTTGATTACGCATGGGCCACGGCGACTGAAATATGATCTGACTTTTCGCCGAATTATGCCCTTCTCGGCAAATGAGCTTGAAATGGAGTGCTCTTTTTGTCAATTTTCCTATCCCTTCCAAACAATAAACAACCTCTGCAATGGCATGTGTCAATAAAAGCGTCTCTTGCGAGTTCTTTGGTGCTTTGTTTGAAGGCAATCGATGGATTTATCGATATTTTATCAATAAAAATACATTTCGCAGGAAGAACGTAAAGGAAAACCGCGAATAAGGTGCCGTACGGTTACTGTACAGTAGTAGACGCCGTTGAGAATTCAAACTCGGGAGGACTGTGAATACGCCACCATTCCCAAGTCCAGCCCATCCTCTGGTTTAAACAATTTAGATTTACGTACTGTAAGAGGTGGAAACAAGATGTTTCCCAGATGTTTCTCCCTGTTATGTAAGTACTTTGAGAACGTTACAGAACGTTACAGAACGTTACAGTACGTTACAGTATTTGGAGTTTCCTCTATCCAAGCGAAGCGCTTCCCGGTCGTTGTACGAATTCAAGGTGAGAAAAGCATTCCTCGCAACTGCTCGTGCTGCGAGAAAAAGCATTCCTCGCCACACCTCGTGCTACTCGCTTCCGAGGACTGTAGCACCATGCCACAGTACCCTTGAGGGTCATGTTGTCCAAGGTACTAGTGTAGGCGCTTGAACTGCAGTGGCAGGTTAGCAGTGGAAGCGGGGCAGTGCGAGATTTGAGGGAATTGCAAGAAACAAAAAAAAATGAAGAGTTTTACAGTACGTATCTACTACCCTAACGCTCTTAAGGGTAGTGCCAAATATGAGAATTTAGATATTTCACTGGCAGCGATAGACGTGCGCCTAAGGGTACCCAAGGGTACTGTACAGTAGTGCGTCACCTCGTTTACGGCGCGGCCCTACTCGAGTACATGTACTGCGGCGAGCGTCCACGGCGGCGGCCCGGGCGCTGCATTGTTTCCAACCTGCGTGCAAGTTGAACGCACGACGAATGAGGCAAGGCGGCTCGCGCGCAAGGGGCCAGGGGGATCCGCGCGTGATGTCAGGCAACACCTTGTCTGTGCCAGTCGCTGTCATTTCTCCGCCACGGCCCCACAGTCCGCCAGTGCCTATTTTTCTCTTAATATTTTAGCACCCGCCAACAGCCGCAACCCTAGCGTGCATGCAGCGGGAGCGAGCCACGCGATTGGTTGAAAAAATGATTGGAAATGCTTTTACTCCCGTTCAACCAATCCATTCATGCCAAATGCCGCACGCGGTGCGTTGCGTCGCCGCACCCCGCCCCCCCGTTACAGTCGCCCCACGCCGTCCCGAGTCCGGGACGACAGCGTGCGCGCGGCAGGCGCGCGGCAGCGAGACCGGCTCTGCCGGCGGGTGGGGATGGTTGTCCCGGACGAACATGCGGGCGCTCCGTGCTGTAAAGCATTGGACTCCGTCCAGCGGCATGCTTTCATAGCATATAGGAGCAACGAGAACTGAGTTGCCCTTTTTTAACCAAATAATACTTTTCTGGAGTGGTTCTTCACCCCCGCTCCGCTCAACCAGCTGCACTGTATCCGCCCGTCCGTGCAGGCGCAGGCCGCCACTCTCGCGCCGCGCTCCTTGCGTGGAATCAAAAGCCGCAGTCAAAACTGGGCCCGCCGTCATCACGCCGGCCGCGCAACGCGCGGCGTGTGCGTGTGTGCGCGGGTTCTCCCTGGTTGTAAATAAAGTTTTTTATCATACGCGATATGCACCGGGCGAGGGTGTGTGCCGTATTTCACAGGAATGCGCGGGTGAGCGGCCAAGAATTAAAGAGAATCTCATGCTGCTCAATCCCCTCGACCGACTTCATGTCTCGCAATCGGGGCACCTCGTGTGCTCGACCCCCTTCACCACCGGCACCTTGAACCCTCTAAGATACTCTACTCTCAGTCTATCACTACTCGGTCTAACACCACTGTCTAACACCACTCTGTCTAACATCGCTCCGTCTACCGTAACACCACTCTCTCCATCTCCCTCCTCCCCTCCCGCTGCTCGAGAGAGCGCGTTGAACACGGGGGCAGAGAAAAGCCGGCCACCGCCTCTACCTTCCCGTCACCGCGTTAACCCTACATTACACAATCCCAGTGTGATAAACATCTGAAACCCGCCGCAATTCTCAGTCTAGCATTTCCCATACAGCACCGTTGGGTACCTGTATTCATTCATGCCCTCCGGCCCGGCGGGCATGAATATGTACAGGTACAGTATGGCAAATTGCGAGCGTTCCTGCGCCCCGGAGCCTCCAGCGTGCACGAACGCTCCCAATTTCTACCGCCGCCGGGCGGCCGGGCGTTACAGCACGTAGAACCTTGACGTCACCAGGCCCCGCGATTGCACGCCGCGTGCACCCCGCCCCGCTGCCGTGCGCCGGCGCAAACAACTGCCCGTGCCTCGCGCCTAAAATCCCCTTCTG